GGAGCCTGATGCGGGGCTCGATCCCAGGACCCTGGGATCATGACCTGAGCCGAAGGCAGACGCTTAACGACTGAGCCACCCAGGCGCCCCGAGAATGTGTTTTTAACACCCTCTAACTTGATGGAATTTCCCCAGGTCTTTAATTTCTTATAAAAATGTTCGTTCTTTGAGGATATTCAAATATTATTTCTGTAATGTTCAGTTAGTTGTAACTTCTTGATGATGCCTTACCTACCTTTTTTTCTGTGGGTTTCTATGTGAATCTTCTAATCGAAAAGATTTCTGTCTTCTGGCAGAAGGATTTCCCACATTTTTTGCGTTGATAGGGTTTCTCTCCATAACAGTCCCCTGACAGTAAGTGATTCTGTCTGGGTGAAGGTCTTCCCCACACATTACTCACCCAGTGCTGCTTCATTTTGTGACTTTTCTGATATAGCAGGTGTGACTGCTGCTGGAGGCACTCTCCGTTCATTCATTATTTTCATAGATCTTCTCTTAATGTGTGTTCTCTGATTCTGAATTGAGGGTTTGCCTTCGCGCAGAAGGTTTTCTTTCCTCAGCCCGTTCTTTGATATCCAAAGAGGTGTTCTTCTGGAAGAAAGGTTTCCCACGTTCTTTACAGGTGTAGTGAATTCTCTGATGTAGAGTCAAGATGGGCTCTGACAGAACTTTTTCCTACATTCAATATCATAAGATCCCCCCACCATGTATTATCTCATGTTTTATAAGACTTCATAAAAAGATTTCCCTGCCTGTGTTACATTCATGTGATTTCTCTCCTGTATGGGTAATTTGAAGGGTAAATTCTGGCAGAAGGTTTTCTACCTTCATTACCTTCTAAAGGTTTCTCTTGTGTGTGTGGGTGCTCAGAAAGTGAGAACTGATTTGTGGCAAAAGGCTGCTCCAAGTATGCCATTGTTAGTTTCCTCCCATAAATAAATACATATATATGTATATGTGTATATATATATGTGTGTGTGTGTGTGTGTGTATATATATATTTTTTTTTTTTCCTGGTGTTTGAGAGACTCAGTTTGACGATGACTTGTGGCTAAAGATATGTTCGTGAAAGTTACAAAATTTCCTTTATGAATTCTCTAATTCTTGAGTTTTGACTTCACGCAGAAATATTTCTCACATTTGTGGAGTCATAGAGCTTCCTTTTCATACTAGTGCTCATGTCCACTGGAGCTTTGTGTTTTGGATAAGAGTTTCTCTACATTCACTGCATTTACTGGTCTCTCCCAGCCTGAGTACTCTCGTATATAATGAAAACTGCCTCATTATCGAACATTTTCTCAATCTCTTATGGTGTAAAAATTGCTTCAAAACTGGAATTTTTTGATAGTGAAAATAGTCTTCCTTATGAGGCTTTTCTGACTTTGATGATATGCTCCTGGACCGGCTCCCATATGCATTTTCCTGCATTTAATATGGAGGATATTACATCTACTCTCACATCCACTTCTCAGTGAGATCATGAAGATGCTTCTTTTCACAGCATCTTTTCCTAATAATTAATTTTAAGATATATTTCAAAAGGTTACAAAATAACTTAGTCCTCTGAGAAATTCAGGGGAAGATAGGGGAGGAATGAGATCACAGTGGAGGTGCTTAGCACCTTGCTCCGAAATTTGTGTCAAAGGACTCTCCTCAGTCTACAGGTTTCCAGTCTTTTCCCTTCCTCTTCTT